AAAAAGCTACATATTTTCTCATACTGCATGGTATGTTCCTGCACAAGTCATTTAACACCTTTCTAAGAGCTACACAAAAACTTTGGTTTATTTTCTTTGAAGCACAGCTGTCATATATGAATGTTATTTCCAGCATAATGTAGCTGCTTGTATGGAATGTAAGTTAATTAAAAGAGAGAACAGATTTAGGGTTTACTATTGACAGCATGGTCTTGCACACCTTTTATACTTGTGCAATTCTAAGTAAATGTTTAGTAAACTATTTTCCTGTTGCTTGCCTCCTGTAGTTCTATAGTTTTTAGATGGCTCAGAACAGCATTCTGCAGGGACGATGACAAGCTTTACAATCAAAATGCCACAAAGCTGAGTAGACTACTGTAAATACAGATAACTCAAAAATATCACTAGTACTAAAGCTGTGGAAATGCATATTGAATGTGTAATTGGGGATTATGCATTTATAGAAAAGCTTTAAAATACCATTGTTATTAATTGAATGCAGGAATGTGACTTGTTTGGCTTTCTTTCAGACTTTCAGTGCAGCTCAGTGGTGTTGCATTTATTCTATTTTGCTCAAGATAAATACAGGTGGTGTTTACTTTCTCATGTGTTTAAATATATGTATTTTCAGCTAAAGGAACACTTAGTGAAGACACCATCCGAGTTTTCCTCCAGCAGATTGCAGCTGCTATGCGTATCCTACATAGTAAGGGAATAATTCATAGGGATCTTAAACCACAGAACATCTTGTTGTCTTACGCAAGTCGTAGGAAGTCAAGCGTCAGTGGCATACGAATCAAAATAGGTAAATTCTTTTTTTCCTTAAAAGATAAACTTCAAATACAGTGAAATCCACTCAATTGCGACTTTATAGTGCAGTAGAATGAAAGGTTCTGCCTTAGGAGTTTATGTTCATTACATTGCTGCAAATCACACACAAACCTGGAGAATAGAAATCTGTGCTAGCAGATGGGTCCCCAGTATTAAGAAACTTTAGTTATAATGAACTTTTTGGTTAAATTTGATCAAACAGGTATCCTGAAGAAACAGTTATAAAATCATGCTGATTAATGGTTCTAATATTAAACTATTTTAATTGAGAGACCATGGATCTTTGGTTTGCTGTAGTTTTAAAAACTTGCTTAATTTTTAGCCCATTTCAGAATGTGTGTGAATCAGCAGTTTGTTCATAATTCAGAATGTGCTTGTGGTGGGAGGACTCCTAAGACTTCTTCTTAAAAAGGTTCTAGATGTAGGTTTTGGTGTGTATTTGGTAGGAAGGGGTTTGGCATTGTAATTGACATGGGATATGAACTGTTCTGTACTGACCTTACCCTGACTGAATTTCTGAAAATGTTCTATCTCGAGGAATTAGGGCAGTGAGTTTCCATTGAAACAGACATTTTGTATTTAATTTGTTTCTGTTATGATGCATTCTATTGTTGAAAATGAGGTATCTGTTTAGGATATGACCCATTCCAATAAATTCATTCCTGTCTTCTAATCAGTACAGAAAAGGCAAAATTCCTCCCCTTGCCACCATAGTTGACAATTCTCCAACCTTCTTGTTTGTGCAGAAAGGTTCAGGCATCTGAAATTTAAATTTCCAAACTTTTACCTGATGCGATTTTAATTAAGCAGACTGTGTATTCATCCCTCTTAATGAACCATTTATATTTAGCTTCTGTCTTTAATCCTTTCCTGCTGACGCCAAACAGCGTACTCTGCAGCTGGAGAGTTGGCTGAGTAGCAATTTGTACAAATGATGCTGCTGCTATTTCTTGGCTTGCTGTTAGGGAGGCTGGTGCATTGTTCCTGTTTGCTTCTCTTCGAGTTTATACACAGCCTTCTGCTACTCCACTAAGCTGGCATTTTATGACAATACTGCACTTACTTTTCACTCTTAACTTGTGATTACAGTAGATAACGAAAGATAAATCCATTATACTGCATAGGTTTAAGCATTATTTTTCTTTTCAATGACACGTGTGTTTCTTTAAACAGCTGATTTTGGTTTTGCTCGTTACCTGCATAGTAACATGATGGCTGCCACTTTGTGTGGGTCCCCTATGTATATGGTGAGTGACAGTATTTTAAACTACATCCTGTATTTGATACATTGTTATCAAAGAAATAGGGTTTGCCATTTGGAGACAGGCGAGTGCATGCTATTTAATGAGGATGATGTTAAGAGGAGCATACAGTTTACCTTTCTACTATCTCTTCAGCATATGCTGTTTTGAGGCCTGGAGGTCATGATTGTTAAAATGAGAGGAAATGAGAGGAAAACTGAGCATTTCTTTAGCAGTGCGGCGAAGAAATATTCTGGTAAATTAAAATAGGCCATGGTATCTGTGTTGATAGTATGGATTATGAGACATGTTGGTTCTTGCATATTTCTTGATGCACTAGAAACTAATCCGTAAGCTTGCATACTAGTTGCCTTTATACTTGTTGGCATTGTCTTCTGAAGTAGGGCATTGCCTGATTCCCAGTTTCTGTGGAATAAGAAGGGTCATGGAGTGGGAGAAAGCGAAAATGGCTAGAATGCAAACACTGGAAGAAGACTTGGAGTAAACAAACAATTATTTCAGTAGTTGGAATGAAAATGGCATTTATGTATTCTCTCTTCATACTCATAACTCCAGATAGCAATTTCACTTTAATTGCCTTTTGTCTTTCTGAGGCAGTGTGGATAAAGTACTGCACTGGGACTCAGGAGACCTGAATTCTATTTTCGGCTCTCCCACTAGCCTGTGGGGTAACCTTGGAGAAGTCATTCCACCTATAGGTTCCTCAGTTTCCCCATCTGTACAGTGGCGGTGATGATACTTACTGCTTTCTTTGTAAAGCACTTGAGATGTGCTGATAAAAAAGCACTGTATAAGAATGAGGTATTAATCATTTGGCATATCTCCATGCATACAAATTGCCTCCTTTTCCTATATTAATACCACCAAGATTTACTTTTTTTTTTTCCTCCAAGAATGCAGGTGTTCAGAGTTTAAAAAGTAAATAGTCTGGTGTCTGAAGTCATACAATGGGACAGACTAAAATGTTACATTTTATCTTATCAAAGTATTGACCTTGTTGCAGTAAACTGTACATTCTATTACTGCAGTTTGATTTGTGGGCTGATCCTGCTGTCGTGAGATAAATATTAACAATTTGATTTGTACCATTGTGGCTGCCAGTTTTTCATAATTCCTTCTGTAACTTTCCTATATTTTCTAGGCTCCTGAGGTTATTATGTCGCAACACTATGATGCCAAGGCAGACCTGTGGAGTATAGGAACTGTGATTTATCAGTGTCTTGTTGGGAAGCCACCTTTTCAGGTAAGATTTATTTTCCCCGCCTCTCATTTGATTGGTCATTTTCATCTGACAGAAGCAGCTGTGGTACTGCCAGCCAGCCATGAGGATTAGGATTCATAATGTCATCTTAGTCTGTTGTTGATATTGCTTCAAGGACCAGGTGGCTGTGGATACTCAGAAGAGAAGGGGGGTTCACACTCAGTCCTTTTGAGATCTGAATGTGTAGTCTGGGATGCATGTGCCTAAGGATGCTTGGTAAAGTCAGTTCTGAGCTCATATCTCCCTTATGATACTGTAAGCCTCTTGAATTGGCCAAGTCTCCTTTTTTGTGTGCATGTGCATAAACATGTGAGAAGGCAATTCTCACTGCTGAAATGAGGTTTTTAAACAAATTCACATTTTTATTTGACAGGCCAATAGTCCTCAAGACTTGAGAATGTTTTATGAAAAAAACAGGAATCTGATTCCTAGGTATGTATATTTTGTAGAGTAATTTTATATCTATGGAAATCAAGTGATTTGGATGGTTACATCTCTTTTAAATTACAGTTATGATTTCCCAAAGTGACTATATAAAGAAGGAACCACCTCACCCAAAACATCTGCTGTATGTGCCTGTCAAATCATATCTACTGACTTCAGTGACAAATATGTTTTTACTACTCCTGTTAATTCTGCAGAGCCAATACAACTGTGGGTGAGCAAGTTAGATTCTTCTGGTTGTAGTCTATCAGCAGAATTATTCATTAAGTTCCATTTGCAGAGTCTTTTACTGATGAACAAACCAGAAAGAGCACCCAGCTTGACTCTCAGATCTCTGCTTCAGTTTGCAGGGCTGACAGACAACAGTTGGGTTTTTTTGTTTTTTTGTTTTTTTAAAAGCAGGTTTGGTATATAAATCATGGCGACAAACAGGGACTATGTGCTGGTTTGGGAACTGTTTCAGAGCATAACACATTGTGAAGTTCTTGGCTTAATTTTGTTTTTCATTTGTTTTTGTAGTCTGAACTGTGGCATCAAAATGCCAAATCAAAGGGTGTCTCCCCACTTCTACTAACCTACAATAAGGCACTTATTAGCTACTGGTGTATATTTGACACCCTTCCAGAGATCAAGGCAAAGAGTTTCAAAAGTAACTAGTGATTTTTGGGTGCCTCAGTTCTTGGGTGCCCAACTGAAGACGTATTAAAGGGGCCTGTTTTTCTGAAAGTTTGGAGCACTACCCCCTTTCAAGTGCCTCAAGTTGGACTCTCAAGGTGAGGTGCCCTAAATCACTAGTCATTTCTGAAAAACATGGCCTAACTGTATAGTTCTCATCCAAAGACTTCTAAAGGCAGAGCCTCTCCCAAATCTATATTTGCAGGGGGGGTCTCTTCACAAGTCTGGTCGTGGAATTGAAAACTCCACTCAGAAATCTGAATAATCAGGAGAATATCGGGGAGAGGGGAATGGGTTTACCTTGATAAATTGAAATTAGAAGTCTTAGTTGGTTTACTCCAGGCTTATCAAGTATGAATTCCCCTTATGTCTGGCTTTAATTGCTGACCAGCTGAGTTCTTTGTTCTGGGGCCACTGTTTCCCTTTTGACAATTGTATGAGTTAGCCACCCCACTTTCTGTCCTTTGTGATGCCTGGACCCAGTAGGAATTGACATTTAATGTTGCTGTGTTGACTTGGGAGTAATGTAATGCCTGTGGCACATATTCTACCATCCTTTCACTGCTCACGCTGAGTCCAAATGTGTGTCCTGTGTAAGACAGTCAAGCATTTATTGTGAAGATGCAGTATTGTTCCAGGATGTTAGTTTCCTGGGTAGGAATGTAATATTAATAGAAATTAATGCATATTTGATTCTCTTTCTCTTTGTATACAGTATTCCTAGGGAAACATCAGCATATCTGGCTGACCTGCTGTTGGGTTTACTTCAGAGAAACCAAAAAGACAGAATGGACTTTGGTATGTAATTTTTTCGTAAACATGTCCAGGGGCTTTTTACTTTCTCTGTTAACCCTGTTGTTTATGTACAGATTCAGTATAATTTTCCAGTCATCTAATTTAATTGGGTGTAGACACAGGTGAAATTTTTTTCCCCTCACTCATCTCAGTGGACACAGGATACTCATCCACAAATCATTAGATAATTAACATCACAGTCACCTAGCAGGAATGTCTTCATGTCTATATGAAAACAAATCAAATAAATCTATATCTGTGACTTTGATTGGGTTGTTTTTAAAACCAGTTATTAAATGTAGATTGGTGTCACTGATCACTTTCAACTGTGGTCTTTTTCTCCAGTGTTAATTTGTTGCAGTCAAGGGAAAAGTGGCAGTAGATAGAAAACAAACATCTGAGAGTGGGCAACTTCTGTTTTTAAATTGCTTCTTGCTGCTTGCTTCAGTGTTGGGTACGTGCCCAAGAACAGTTGGTGTGGAGCAGCCAGTCATATTTTATTAGGTGGTAAACAACTACTTATACTCTGCTTACGTAATCCTTGATTGTTTCTAAGAAATGGAATTTCATAAATAATCATTCTAAACATGAACAAACCTTATGCAACCTGCAAGCATATAAATGTTAATAATTAAAAAAGAAAAGCATTGAAATAGTGAGCTGGTGTACTATTTATAGCATTTCTTTTCTAATGTCTAGTTGTCATCTGTAATTGTTGGGGAATGTTTCCAACTAAACCCTTGTTCTGCCAGGCCAGATTTCTATCTCTCGCTGACCAGCTGTCACATGGTAGCTGTGTGCAGAGGAGCTGTGTTTTTCTGTCTGGTTTGGTTTGCATACTGTTTTCGAATGGATACGGCTGCCTTCATTGTGAGATACCTTAAATTTCATGTTACAGTGATTTATAATTTGTTTTTAAAGTGCTCGTTTGGCTTTAGATTTGCTGAAAACATTTTCCGTACCACTTTGATTAGAGAAATACAGCTTCCACAAAATTGGATTCTCCCTTTGCTTTCCCATGTAAAGCATATACATGATGCTGTATGTCAACACATCTCTGTTTTAACAGTGGTATATAGATCATGTCTGGTTTGAGCTCACACCTATATGATCTGTGTGTATATGTAGAAGGGGCATGAAGGACTGATGTAACACTAGCTTTCTTCGTATTCGGCAGAGAATGAGTTCAAGTATCTATTATGCCTGGGATGATTTGTTTACAGATTTCTATATTTTTCTTATGCTCAGAATTAGTGCTAGTAGAGAATTACCAATGACTGTTAAAAGCATAGGAAGAGCAGAAAATAATCCAGTCAGAAATGTAATAGACATGGCTGTGAGCTTGTAAAATCTGAATGCTTTATGTGCTGCTTGCTCCCTACACAATAAATACAATTTTGTGGATTCTGCTTGTGGAACTGTGCCATCACAACTTAACTGCACACGCAAGCCGAGGTATTGTATATCATTTATGCAAATATAGAAATTGAGTCACAATTTGGCCGTGTGTCGTTCCTGTGTATATGCAATGAAGAGGCTGGGAAGGCGAATATTCACAATAGGCTTTTGAATTCTTCACTAGATTCTTAAGGCTTTCTTCATATCAGAATATTTTTAATTCTTGCTGTGTTCCACTGTTGGAGTTCTTGCAGGATATCTCAAAAAACAAAAATGCATTTTACCTAATTCAGACCAAAAAACCAATAACAGAATAGCTAAGTGCCTGATCCTGCAGTTTTTTACTACAGTGATTAGTCTTGTTGAAATCAGTAGCAGTATTTATAGAAAGTGGTGCACCTAGTAGGAAGTTTTGCAGAATCTGGCCCTTAGCAAAATCTGGATAAAATACCACATACTATATTGACTGTTTCAGAAGAAGTTGATTTGTAAATTTACATGGATTAAGAGAAGTCAACACATCACAAATGCTGATTTTTATGATACCAATAAGTAACAATGCACAACTAATCTACAGCACAAAGTTATAAATCTTCTTCCCAATCAGATATTCTGATACAGATGAGTTATTGAATTGATTAATGAAATGCAACCAGTACTAGCCAAAGTGAGCATATAACTTAGCTGTCACCTAACGCCTTACTTTTGATTTGGGTTTTTGGGGGGCCATCTGATATCAGATAGGGAAGCCCTGTTGTAGTGGGTGCTTCACTTGACTTTTCACTTGACTCTGGGCATAGTGGCTGGCAGTGATTGCTGAAACACATTTGAGGGACCTGGAACACGGAGCTGTTCCCCCGGTGCTGTTAAAGGAGCATTGAACTGTTTGTGGTGAGAGTCCCATGTCTCCCTTTGCTGCAGGGGTGGGGTCTTTCTCAGCTCACTGACAGCCAAGAAAGGACTTTAAAGGGGGGTGCATTAAATATGGTAGGAATGATTAATAAGTGAATGAAGAGTGATCATTTGAATTGCTTGTGTTTTGCTAAAATATAAACAGCATTTGAAATCCTGCCTATCACAGCAGAACAGATTGGAAGAACAGGTGTTGTACCCAACTTCAGGAACACCTCATCCTCAGATAAAGTTAATCATTAGATTGCCAGTATTAAGCAACTATGCTCACTTCCTCCTATTGGGCTTTTGAAGAAAGTGCTGCTGCAGAAAGAGAGACTTGCTTAAGTCTAATGAGCAGCATTGTTGTGTTTTTCCTTCTTAATTGTTCTAAGCACATTGTAAGCTCACAAAGATCTAGGACTGTCTTGCTTAGTTGATTCATTTTCCCTGTCTAATTAGCTGACCGTCTCTTCTGGAACTATAAAGTGCTACCAAACTGAATGTGCCAAAGCAATTAAACATATCTTGATGTCCCCAGTTACTAATGACACATTCAAATATTTGTGTTGTTGAAGCAATAACCAATGAATTGCTCAAGTTCATTGAACAAATTGTTGAGAAAAATTAAGTTAATTCCCCTTTAAACTGAGAAACCAGCTACAGAGGCAGCGTGCTCTGCCCCTTGGGGAGTGGAAGGGAGAATGCCTCATGCTGCTGTGCAGTAGCACTGATGAGTTCAAAATTAATTTGATTCAGTCGCTGGCCACAACATGAGGGTTTGCAAAAGGGGGAGCACTTAGTGGTGCCAAAGGTAAGGGAGCTTCCCGTTCTGATAAGCAACACGGAACTGAATTATTGTAGGGTTACTGAATGCCATCTGCTAGTGACTGTGCAAACATTGCCCATTTGTACATATTGGTTATTTATGACTAGGGTTACCATATTGCAGTCCTGGAAAAAGAGGACACTCCAAGGGGCCCCGGCCCTGCCCCAACTCCGCCCCTTCCCTGCCCTGGCTCCGCCCCAACTCCGCCCCCTCCCCTGAACACTCCGCCCCCTGTTCCTCCCCCTCCCCTGCTTCCCGCGAATCAAATGTTCGCGGGAAGCCTGAAACAGGCAGGCAGGCAGCAGGTAAGCTGGGGCGGCAGAGCGCGAGGAGGCGCGGCCCAGTCCGGCCCCCCCAGCCAAGCGGCTCCCTTCAGCGCCGGCCAAGAGGCTCTGGCCCCGGCAGCTCTGGCCTGGCTCAGCTCGGACTCCAGGGCACCGGCCCCGGCCGAGCGGCTCCGGCCTGGCCCCGGCCCTGGCTGAACGGCGCCGGCCAGCGGCCGAGCACCCCCAGCCCTGGTCACTCCAGCCCGGCTCGGGCCCCAGCTCCGGCCGAGCGGCTCCAGCCCTGCCGGCCGAGCGGAGCCAGCCGGCGGCCGAGCACCCCCAGACCCGGTCCCAGCGGCTCCGGCCCGGCTCAGCTTGGGCCCCGGTTCCAGCCGAGTGGCTCCGGCCTGGCCCTGGCCGGCGGCCGAGCAACCCCAGCCCCGGTCCCAGCGGCTCCGGCTCGGCTCGGGCCCCGGTTCCAGCCAAGCAGTGCCAGCCAGCGGCGGCATCCGAGCTTGCAGCCACCTCCTCCCGGGCTCCGGCTGCTGCTGCGCTGGAGAGAGCGGCGGGAGCCGGGAAAGTTGGAGCCCGGGGAGGAGGCGGTCCCCTTACCATGCCTCCCTATTTTCCCGGACATCTTTTTGGAAATTCCTCCCGGACGGGGATTTGAGGACCAAAAAGCCGGACATGTCCGGGAAAATCCGGACGTATGGTAACCCTATTTATGACCCTAACATTGAGTCATAAAATGTCCCTTAAACATCCGATCTGATTCTCGTGCAAGCCACTTCTTTAAAGCTATTGACTGTATTTCCTTTCCAAGTGTAATAGCAACAAATAACCTGGAAGACTTTAATCTTTTATAAGCTCTTCAGCCTCTGGATGTGAAGTATTGATTCTGTGGAAGGGTAACCACTTATTTCCTTGTATGCTATAATGCAGATTCTAATATGGTTTGTAGGTTGACGCACATTTGTTCTCACCTTTTGTTTTGCAGAAGCGTTCTTCAACCACCCTTTCCTTGATCAGGTTTCAACAGTCAAAAAGTGTAAGTAGTTGCATTTTTCCACTTATTCTCATCAGTGAGGCATATTAGAAAAAAAATATACTATTGAGTAGCATATTCTTTCTGAAACATCTTCCACAGATCAGCAGTCATGCTCCAGTGTCAGTTAAAAAAACCTGTGAAATCTTTGAGTGTCATGTTTGGTTGAAATGTAGTTGACATTTATGCATTTCTTAGGCATTTCAGCTGGTCTTAAGGAGCATTGTGTGAATGCATTTTCCAAGAACATGCTGTGCACTTAAAGCTCTGGAAGTGTTTATAAATTAAAGCCAGCAGTGAGGAAATCATTGCATTGTGTCAGTTCATTTGTTTGAAAATTCATCTCACATCTCAATCCTCTCTTCCTCCTCCAGCTTGCCCTGTGCCAGTGCCCACATATGCAGGCTCAATAGCTGGCAGCTCCTGTGGAAGTTCTCCTTGTCGTTTTGCTTCTCCTCCTGTAAGTTCTCTGTTTTGCTTCCAGAATAACCCTTGTCAAAAACACATTCCTCTGTTTGCTGTTATATGCGGCCAGAAATTGTCAAATCTCCTCTAACATGTTTTTTAATTTTAGCTCTGATCATCTAAACAGTTACCTTACAAAAAGGCAGAGCAAGCAGTATGGCTGTCTTTTAGTGCAGCAGTTTTATAAAGGTTTTCAATCCTTTCCCATTCTTCATGCTTTTTTATAAAAGTCTGTGCCAGATCATTAGTTGTGCTGGTGTGAATTCCAACACAGTGAATGAGCTTCCCAGGTAATCCTTGGATAGCCTCTTTCTGGGCTCTTACTAGGTAAGTGCCACTGTCTCTTCCTGGTCCATGAAGAATGATGATCGAATGAATAACTTCAGAGTCAGTACCCATTACCTATCTGAATATGAAATTGTCCATCTGAAATGACACCTAAGTTGGCTTCGATATATCTTTCAAAAAAGGTTTTCTTTACATACATATTTAGTAATAAGGTTCCTTGCCATCTGAAAAGTGTCTCACAATTCAAATTAAAATTAGTATTTTTAAAAGACTTTGGAGAATTTTTATAATTTAAATGCATATATTTTTCACCTTTACTTTTGTTCCCTATATTCTTTCCAGCTAGCTAAGCGCAGGGTAGCATTCACCCTATTGTATTGTGAGCCTGCCCTCTAAAGGGAGATCCTGCATAGTGAACCATTTGGACTTATGATTCTCACTTTTTCTTCAGTCCTTGCCAGACATGCAGCATATTCAAGAAGACAACTTGTCTTCTCCACCATTGGGTCCTCCTAACTATCTTCAGGTATCCAAAGATTCTGCCAGCACCAGTAGCAAGAACTCTTCTTGTGACACAGATGATTTTGTTCTGGTTCCACACAACATCTCTTCAGATCACTCATGTAAGAATCTTCTTTATTTTGATGCTTAAGAACACTTCTCACACTCTTTTTAAAAATATTTTTGTATCCTATTGTTGGTTGCTCTTATTTTCTCCAAACCTATTTTAATTTATATTGGGAGCTTGTTTCTTGATATTTTATTGTGCTTTCTTTCCAACGAATACCCTTCTGTTTATTGCAGAATGTATTTCATCATTGTAAAAGAGTGAGGATTGGGGGTGCACCAGAGGTAGAAGGGTTAGTTTCTGTGCACATACCCCAGTATCCTAGCTTTTATTCTGTGCTGCTTATCAGAGTGCCTAAGGGCAATGATGATATGTGGTTGAAATCAGGGTCCTTTAATTCACAGAGAATTCTGATTTATTAACACTGGAAAAAAAATAAGCCCATTGTGAATAAGGGATGCATAGAATCATTAGGTGTCCTAGCAGTTGAGGGTGGACATGCTGTAGCATGTGACTCATAGACCAGCTAAACATTGTCAGTCAAGCTTATAAGGTTCAGTTTCTTGCCTTTCTTCCATCTGCAGCAACTTACTGTCTCAAGCTAAGAAACAATGAAAGGCTAGACTTCACAACCATACAGTTTCACACAAGGCTTATAGTGTACATTGTGTTTCGTGGTACTCAGAGTTTTCATTTTTGTTAAACTTGCATAATGGCAACATAAGCCATGGATGTTTAGTGTTTTTGTTTTAATCACCTGCTTTCCCCATGCCACTGCAAATGTCTCCGTTTTTAAAAAATGTTGTGCAGTATCTTTGGGTCAGTTAAGTTGTTTTGTGTTCCAAGGAGTTTCTGGAGATCAGTGGTGTAGGTTTCGCAGTGCTGATATGCTATACCGTAACTAGTTATACTTTTCCTTAAATATTAGGATAATTTGGGAATAAAATCTTTCTGATATTACTTTTCAAAAACAGTCTGTTACAGAACCACTTTCTGTGTAATAGCTTAAGTTTGGGTTAGATTTGGGATATCTTTTGTGAAATCATCTGTGAAGCAATTCATATTTCTTGCTGCTAATATGGCGATAAAGTTTCTTAGTTTGCATGTATGTAAAGTATAATAGACATTAAAAGGATTTCATATAAGCAAGAATATTGAAGATACAACTTCAGGCCTTGACTAAATTATGTTGGTTTCAATTTGTTCTCTGCCTTTTTCTGTAGATGATATGCCATTGGGAGCAGCTGGCAGACGGGCTTCAAGCGACTTCATGATGTGTGGAGGGTATATGTGCTGGGTTTTATCGAACTAAGTTTCATAGTCTAAAACTGATGTTGTAGCACAGCTTTACAGTTGTTGGATTTTGGCAGTGACTGGTTTAATTTTACATTGCTAAGTGTGGACTTTCCACTGGAAGATGAATATTCCCAGTAGAACACAGTATGACTATTTAAATAGCTCGAAATCAGCAAGTTCTACAGAGAACTAAATGTTTTTTTCTTCTTACAGATAGTTCTTTATATTCTGTGACAGTGTTTGTGGCTTCTTGTTTTAACAGGCAGTCACCATTAACCATTTCTGGAAGCTCAGGAACTTTACAGAAACCATCCTCAAGCTCCACCCGAAGTAGTTCTTCTGGTTCAGCTAACAGGTATGTTATTGAGTTGCTCTCCCATCTTTTTAATGATTTCTCTGTTGCTGTAGAGTTTGTTTTTTTTACTTCTGTTGCTTACTGGAAACTCATTTAGGATAGTGCTACTATCTAAGATCTTTCTTTAGTATTTGCTGTTAACTGTTTTAGCAGTAGAAGGTTGCTCAATTAGCTTCTGGCTCAGATGCACCCAATTAAGTTCCTTGAGGAAAGAAAGAATTTGTGTTTGGCTTTTTGATTAATTCTGAATGTCACCAGCAGCATTAGGTGTCCAGGCACAGCCCTCCAGAGAAGGGGTCTACATGTCTGATTAGCATTACGTAGTAAACCACACCGATCTCCAGTTAGGGATACAGGACATTAAAAGCAGCTATTGAGCTATAAAAAGGGAGGCTGTTGCAGTTAAATGTTGATAAACTGGTACACTGATGTGTGCAGTATTGGTCCCAGGATATGAGAGACACAAGGTGGGTGAGGTAATATATTTTATTGGACCAACTTCTGGTGGTGAAAGGGACAAGCTTTTGAGCTACACAGACATGAGGAAGAACTCTGTAGCTTGAAAGCTTGTCTCTTTCACCACCAGAAGTTGGTCCAATAAAAGGTATTATCTCATCCACCTTGTCTCTCTGGTACGCTGATAGCACATTGGCTTTTCAGACATACTAGCGTGCATTAGAGTTTTTAATTGTTAGTGATCCACCAACATCCTTCAGTACCTTGGAAATCTGTGTTGATTAGCTATCTGTAAGGAGAAGATGGTTTACAATCCCTTTTTCTGTATGTGGAATTCTGCTTTGCAATATACCTCACTTAAATGTTCAAAACACTTCCCTCCGACTGTAACTGAAGACAAAGTTCTGGGTACAGCTTGTCAGATGATGATGTTGACAAACGGCAATTAATTTTATTTTTTTTTGACTTGGTGACATTTGGAAAACGTCATGTGTACCCCTGCTTCTATTAGTATCTAAACAGGAGAATTAAATTTTGTCATTTGATGAAATAATGCATTTCATAACCCTATTTTTGATACAAGGGAAAAAGTGGATGATTATCCAAATAGTGACTGCAGATATTGACTGTTTCCTTGGCTTATGCTAATGTTACAGGAAGATGATACTGCATTTTTTTTTTTGTTTAGAAATGCTTGTCATAAGAAGAGAAGTTTATCACTTTGTGCTGACCACAAAGCAGTTTGCAAAATTTGCTAACATATGGGCTGCTAAATATAAAAGGTGGAGCTTATACCTATTAAGGGCAGAGAAACAGAATAGCTGATTTTTTAATGGCTTTTAGGTCCGAGTTGCCTTGCATGCAAAATATTGTAAGTATATTCTAATAGCCTCTTTATGCTCTAAATTAAAGTCAAAGTTAATGTTAATTGAAGTTATGAAAAGTATTTTAGGTGCATTTCCAAATTGGTAATGTCAGAGAGCCACTTATTTGTGCTGGCTAGGAACAGGTGTTTGGTATTCCAACTACAGGTTTTTTAATTACTGCTTGATCACAATTTGAATGACTAGGTCTGGTTATTATAGGTGACCTGGTATCAGGTGACCTAACAGCCAAACTGGTTAAGAATATTGAGCTGCTTTGGATGTAGTTTGTTGAAAAAGTAGTGTGTGTGTGTATTACTGATGGTTATGATATTTTGGTTTTATACAGTTCAAACTACAAGGCGATTTTGTTTTTCAAGCTGGGAAATATTAGTTTAAAGTTAATTACGAATTTTTCACCAAGTATAATTAAGTCTTATGGAGAAATGATTTTTTTTTTCCTGATTGGTTAAATTAATTTTACTAAACTGTGTAACTGTATGAATCATACCCAGGGTTGGACTTTGGGTGTAGGCTTCCACTGCCCTCCCAAGAACAGCTGTATGTTTCTTCAATGAAACAACGAGCAGGGAAATAGGTCACAACGTTGACTTTAAATTACTTTGTAGTTAATATTCAGGAGATGAAAAACGGGCAACTCACTTTTTTTAGGGCGAAATGAAGAACTTGCTGTACAAAGTCCAAGTAAATGAGCTTTGCACATAACTAAGAGGGAGTGAGATCAGGTGGGGAGAGAACGTCACCCAACCCAGCAGCATGACCTGAAGTGTCTGCATAGCCACCACCCCCTGCTACTGCTACAGATATAGTAACTGCTGCTCCCCCTGCGCTTGGAATTTAGACGTAGGGCATCCGCTTCTTGGCATTTCCCCATCATGCTACTGGATGCCTTTGTACAGATTCTGTGTACAGCCTGCCCTCTATGCACGGAAGCTTTAGGCCCTTACATTCAGCATGTAGCCCTTAAAGCTGTGGTTTCATTACTGTCTTTTGGCAGATTCACCACTGCAGCGGATGAGGTGCAGAATATCTTAATGGTTGCAAAGCTGAGAAACTTCTATAAATATGAGCTGGAGTTCTGCAGCCCGATGAGACTGCCAGAAAACTGGTGACAGAGTATTATCTGCTCAAATGTGCTCACAGCGACTCCTGAATTAACAACAGTTTCTAGTCACTGAATAGCAGCAAGAAGAGGCACCGCTCTCTATCGTTAAGGAAGCACCATCCCTAGGGGAGTTGTAGATCATGTTATGTTAGGAGATATTTTCACAACAGTTTTATCCATTTGTTTTGCCTCACTGTGTTAGACTGGGCTTGTCTTCACTACCCGCCTGGATCGGCGGGTAGAAATCGATCTCTCGGGGATCGAATTATCGCGTCCCGTCGGGACGCGACAATCGATCCCCGAATCGACGCGCGTACTCCACCAGCGCAGGTAGGAGTAAGTGCTGTTGACGGGGGAGCCGCGGCGGGCGATTTGCCGCCGTCCTCACAGCGGGGTAAGTCGGCTCGGATATGTCGAATTCAGCTATGCTATTTGCGTAGCTGAATTTGCGTATCTTAAATCGATCCCCCTCAGTGTAGATCTAGCCTCTGAGTAAAGCAAGTCATGAGATCCTTAAAAGGTTTAGTGAATGGGAATTCAGTGCTGTATAAGGAAGCAGTATTTCATATAATGGAACGGCAAAGTAATGAATGCAGCTGTTTCAAAATAATATCAAGAATCCAGATTTCAATAGAACCAAAGCCAGGCAGTGGTTGCGGTGACTGCTCATTTCCTTCAGCTTTAGCAAGGTGGGTAGGAAAAATTGTTGCTTTTTGTCTACTTCTGTCTGCCACTTCCTTCCCCTGAGAGTGTGAATTTCTTTCTGAATAATAGATGACCTGGCACTTCTGCCTGCTTGCGGCTCTCAGCTTTCTGTTATGCTGACTGGCTGCTCCTCTGTCCCATCACTGAGTGTTTCTTCCAGTGGTTTTCTGCAGCTCCTTGAAGGAGCATCTCATTAGACCAGAACATGCGTGGTGGAATAGCTCAAATCTAACTGTGGAGGGAGGGAACAGAAGGTTCATCTGGAAGATGAAAATAGTTCTAAATTCTTTTGAAATTGACTACTTCAGGAGGACCCTTGCTGTCTGATTAGAGTTAGCTTCCACACAGGAGTGCACGGATGTCCTTTCCTCCTTCCAGTTTGCCTTCTATTCCGTTCCTCTGTTTGCTACTTCCCCCTTCCTTTTGCTTCACACTGTTGCGTTCTTTCCCTTCTCACTACCTTCTCTAAAGTTCCTTTGTGGGCCCAACTATGCCCCTGTTGCTCCCACCGCAGCTCACAGGCTAGATTACCAGCAGGGTTCTCTTCTGCTTCTTTAGGGGTGAGGTAGGCTGAGGCTGATTTTTGGGCACATCATCATGAAGGTACCCTTGGGGTTAAAGCCAAGGTTAGAAGAATTGGTCCTTATAGTCTGTGCGTTTTTGCGATTACACTGAGGTGGTTCTTTCTCCCAATCTTCAGTATCTGTGTGGAGTTTGTCATTCAGTCGTCTGTAGCTGGCTTCTGGAAAGAAATGTTATGAGCCGTATGGGACGCAGGACTAGTACCAGTATGTGAAGTAATCTGCTGGATTTTCAGTTTCTTGGTATATAAAACTTGCTGAGGGATTTCAGTTTATAAAGGTGAGAAACCAATATCAGAAAAGAGTAGGAGTATTGCTTTGGCAATGGGGTTAGCCAAAGGAAGTACATTCTAGAAAAATACTGTTATGTTTGGCATATATGTATCAATTTCCCCAACAGCTGAATAACCCTATGCTTTTCTCCTGTACTGTGGTTTGGTTTGCTGTTAGTAAAATTCAGTGAAGTGTGAGAGTCATTAGTCTAGAATCACCAGTGCTTCCTTCATCAGCGTGAAAGCATTGGGCTTTTTGGGGAATGGAGGACATCCTTCAAGATGCTACATAAAATTTGGTGCATTTAGGTAGTTTGTCTTCGTCTGCTGAAGCAGAATACCTAATAAAGGCTGGCATGTTTTACACACTAGTTATCCAAGGGGAAGCATGAGAGAGCCATGGGGGACAGGAGGGAGACCGCATCTAAGACAGAAAAAAAGACCTTAAAAAGGACAGACAAATCTCACTGGGTCTTATTTTAAAAAGACAAAACAAACTTGAACAGGTTTTATATTGTGTATTCGCAAGTTACCTTTGTCCTGGATAGAAGAAAAGCTATGAATCGATTTTTAATATAAACTAATGCATTATAAATTAGAAAATGATTGAAATTAAATATCAATCACACAATGCTTCTAAAAATGGTTTGATTGCAATCCTTCCGATAATTTTTTTCTCTCTGAGGTTGGTAGTTTGTATGAGGGACTAGATAGGATACCTTGTCTTCCTTGGAGGAATCCGTTAATTGGAAAATGTGCTTGTTATGTTTTTACTTGAAAGTGGTGATAGCTGGTTAAATTCTTATCATGGAGAAAGTTGATCCACTTATCAAAACGAACTTTGAGAGATAAGTCACTGACACTTATTAGCTGAAGTACATAAAACTCGTCTGCAGCTTGATGAAATGGTTTAGTGTTCAGGTGTGTTTTGGTCACTTTGTGCACGTAGGAGTTGATTACGTAACCTGTTTTCTTTTTATGAATTCACAATGTCTCTTGGGAAATCTCTGATTGTGCCTTAGTCGCTTTTGTAAACAATCCAGTCAATTTTGCTCTTGAACGTCCTGTTCTTTACACCGTGGGTTTTCCTAGAACCACTTTGTTTTGAAAGGTAGTGAACAGAGGAGTCTGACTGGGAGGAATGGAGTTCTGCTTATCTGCAGACTGTGCTGCAGGATTGATTCTGCCGGTTAGTGTTGCAGTTCTCTGCACTCAGAAGGCCAGTGTAAGAAAAGCTCATTAGTGACAAACTGGTCTTGATCTTGCTTTGTAAGTGATTGAGCCAAACTTGGATAAACTGCAGACTGTGTTGTCTACAAGTTCTGCAAAACTGGAGTTTATTTGCCTGTTTCTGGGATTTTCTTTAAATACTGACAATGGTACAAATTAGCAAGAGACCCACTTACCAGCAGTCATTTCCTCTCTCAATACCTTCCAACTTCAGACAATGTCAGCCTTCAGTGTCCCCACGCAGCGAAACGGCACCTATTCCGGTTCCCACTCAGTTGCGGAATTATCAGCGTATAGAGCAGAATCTCACATCTACTGCCAGCCCTGTGTCAAACCCCCATGGATCACCGAGGTGAGTTATTCCTTTTTCTCGTGGCCTTCCTTTGTGTTTATACACTGAAAGATGGCCTGCTTTCTTGCATAGTAAATTACTGCCAGAGTTACATTTGTGTAAGCTGAATTATACGAAGAGTTTAAATGTTTTGCATGGAATAATTCAAAACAGACTTTAGAATGAGTACAACGTATTAGTTCATCACAATCTGCAGTTAGATGGCTGGCAGTGTAGTGAGTTTTTCAGTAAAAGAGAAGTAGAGAAGCCCTAGAATATACTTGGTTTTTCCATTCTAAAATGTTGCCCAAAGAAGTAAAAGGATGAATTCTTGCTCTCTTCTTTGTATGTTCTATAGCATTATGACATGCACTGAAATGTCAGTAATAAGTTCTTCTGTTCTTATTTCACATGTTAATGATAGGATGAATGCATGCATTGTTTTATTAGACCATCAAGGGACAGATTATGGTATGTGAGTTGTTAATTGGCGCTTCATAATAATAAAAAGCTCTTCTTGTGAACTAGACTTGCTGCTTCCTGGTCCACTCCCAAACTTTCACTCTTTGTCCTGTACAGTATTCTATAGAGCCTTGGGAGTGGGACAGAAACTGCCCCCCCTTTCAAAAGGTTTACTACACTACTTTTCTTTGAGTAAGGTAAATGCTGCCAGAGACCTTCCCTTCTCAGCTTCTTCCTTTCTGGTCCTCTGACAACAGATTGCTCTGCTTCTTGTTGGCTGACTAACCCCACCACATGCATAAGGACTGTTTGCAATGTGAGGATGGGATCTCCAGCCTCCCAGCCCATTTATCTTATTTCGGTACCCACTGGAGCCAGAACATTAGGTTCAAGAAACCGATAACTTGCAACCTAGTTTTCTTTTTATAGTTATCTGGATTTTTCATGATTTCTAATTTTGAGGCTATACTGCTGCAGTTTGGCAAGGGCCTTACTTTGTTTTTAATAACTTGTTCCCAACAGCTGATCCACATACCAGGTCCAGTACTTCAAACTCTTCTGATGGGTATATTCTAAGCTCCCTTTTTCTGCCTTAATGATCAGCATTTGTGTTGGAGTCTGTTGCTGTTGCCTGCTTTCCCACTCAATTGTGCATGCAGCGATGGGAGTTCACAGGGGTCCATGCGCTGTTGTGGGCTTAATTGCACAGGCTATTACAACTAGTGTCTGAACTGGTAAAATGAGTTGTCTAAAGGTTGGGAACATTTGTGGTAAATGACTTCTAATTTGTAATATATTACAGCAGCATCAAAAGTTGTGATTCCACTTTGTGACCAAAGGATATAAAATGCTGCTTATGTTTGCAGTGGAGGGTTCAGTTTAAGGCTCATTAAAATCATATTTGGATAAGCATCAATTTCATATGCTTCCCTAAAACGTCAAGAGTTTGTTTTGGGTTTGATCTTTTTAGATCTGCAGTGGTGAGGCGGTCTAATACCAGCCCCATGGGCTTTCTGAAGATGGGCTCCTGTTCACCAGTACCAGCAGACACTGCGCAAGGTGTTGGACGCAGGCTGTCCACAGGGTCTTCGAGACCGTATTCTCCTTCGCCCTTAGGTAAGCTCACAAATCGGTAGATAATGAGGGGAGGTATATCAGGCATAATAACTTTGACATGAGAGTATCTGGTAAATTCAAATCTTGTCCATTTAGATTTCATTTGCAAAAGTGGCTCATGTTAAGTGATTGTTTGAAGAAAGCACGTTGAAAAGAAGCCTGCAGTCTGTTGTTCTCATACTGTTGTCCTTCCTTCATCAGAAATGTAGAAATGTAAACTTATATTCTTGCTTTTAATTTGCTTAGTTGGAACCATACCTGAGCAGCTTGGGCACTGTTGCTGTGGTCAACCTCAAGGGCATGAATCAAGGAGTAGAAATGCCTCAGGTGAGTGGCATTAGGCCAAGTTCCATTTCACTATAGACCTGAAAGCACTGGATGAAGTTGGGTTTTAGTCCCACTTTATAGACAGCCTTTCTATGCCTCCATTACCCCCAAGTGGCTTACCAAAGGTTCCAGGGTAAGTTGGTAGTATTTAGAACAAGTACCTATGTCACCAATCTCCATCCCTGTAGTCCGTCCGCAAGACCATAAGAAATTGACTCGTCTCTGTAGTTCACAATATTAAAGAACCGCTCTTTATTCTGGTCCCCTGCAGGTTATTAACCAAGGATGGAAATGAATTTGGAATATAATCAGTAACAGTAAAGTACTTCTTGAAATGTGGTTGTGATAGATCAGCATGTCATGAGAAATGACAGCAAGAAATATTAGTGTCTGTGTTCAACATTCCCATCCTCATTCCCTCAGGGAACTGACTAGTGTCTGACATTAATGTTGCTAAGCATTCAATAAACTTAGTTCATCATAAACCATTAGGGCCTGCAGGCAGCAAACTGAGGAAGGAGGAGATAGGGATTCATGATGCTTTATTTGATACTATTTAAGATGGGTCCTACTGGAAGGACTACTCAAAAGGGATACAGAAGAATTGCTCAGAAGAACACACTACACCATTTCTAACTAAGGTTTAAATAGTGACTTTGCCACCAGTGTTGGTCCATTTCTCTCCTGCTCAAGGGGCACTTATGTCTGAACTATCTAAAATGTTAGGTATCTTATTCTGAAATAGAACCATAGGATTAGAAGGGACTCCAAGGGTTATCTAATCCAGCGGTTCTCAACCAGGGGTCTGTGGCCCCCTTGGGGGCCGCGAGCCGGTTTCAGAGGGTCTGCCAAGTAGGACCAGTGTTAGACTTGCTGGGGCCCGAGGCAGAGAGCCGAAGCCTCACTGCATAGGCTGAAGCCTGTGGCCTGGAGCCCGGCCACCTGGGGCTGAAGCTGAAGCCTGAGCAACATAGCTTTGTGTGGGCCCCTGTGGCCCCAGGCAATTGCCCTGGCTTTTATATGCAGAAAACCAGTAGTTGTGGCACAGGTGGGCCATAGAGTTTTTATAGCATGTTGGGGTTGGCCTCAGAAAGAAAAAAGTTGAGAACCCCTGATCTAGTCTAACCCCCTGCCAATATGCAGGATTTGTTGTGTCTAAACCATCCAAGAAAGATGGCTATCCAGCCTCTTTTTGAAATCCTCCAGTGAAGGAGCATCCACAGCCTCTCTAGGCAGTCTGCTGCATTGTCCTACTGTTCTTAGAGTTACGAAGTTTTTCCTGAGATTTAATCTAAATCTCTTATGCGGTAGGTAAGATGTTTAAATGTTAAGATATGCTATTGAATTTTTTTTGTTTACTTGAAACTTGTTTCCCAAAACTGCCCTCTGGTAATGAAATCTTTCACTTCTAAGGGCTGGTCCACACTACCCGCCTAATTCGGCGGGTAGAGATCGATCTTCTGGGATCGATTTATCGCGTCTCATCTGGACGCGACAGATCGATCCCAGAAGCGCTCCCCCGTCGACTGCGGAACTCCTGCTCGCCGAGAGGAGGAAGCACTGTCGACGGGGGAGCCTGCCTGCGCCGCGTGGACCCGAAGTAAGTACTTTTAGTTCGATATAGGAAACGTCGACTTCAGCTACGCTATTCTCGTAGCTGAAGTTGCGTTTCCTATATCGATCCCCCGCCCCAGTGTGGACCAGCCCTAAGACAAATGTAGCTAGTAGCCAAACATGTTTAATATCTGACAACTGTTCAGCCTGTGTGAAATGAGTTCCGTGTCCATGGTGGTTCCATGTCACACAAATAACCAGCACAGTTAGTATTCATATTAGCAGTCTCCACAGAGGTCAAGGAATGTGACTAGGTCTGCAAACTGAAATATCCTCTTGCTTCAAAAGATGATCCCTCCAGAATATGATTAAGCCACTTTCTAAGGCCTGGTCTACACTAACCCCCCAATTCAAACTAAGGTACGCAACTTCAGCTACGTGAATAACGTAGCTGAAGTCGACGTACCTTAGTTCGAACTTACCGCGGTCCAGACGCAGCAGGCAGGCTCCCCCATCGACGCTGCGTACTCCTCGCGCCGAGCAGGATTACCAGAGTCGACGGCGAGCACTTCTGGGTTCGATTTGTTGCGTCCAGACAAGACGCGATAAATCGAACCCAGAAGTTCGATTGCCTGCCGCCGAACCAGCACGGTAAGTATAGACAAGCCCTAAGTTGTACGTGTATCTATTCTTGACTTAAATAGGGGTTTATAGGACTGTTAATTTCACGCCAGCAACAAATTCACTTAAACATGTACCCTGCCACAACTCAGTTCTTCTCTTTTTATAGCCTCTTGAGTGTTTAAATTCTTTTACCTCTTATTAATGAACTGCTTAAGTCCTTTTCATATTTGACTTGTACCACTTCTTAATATTAAAAGATTCTGGTATTTTTAATTGTAAAATACCATAAACTGCAGTTATCTGTCTTAAGCATTTAAATGGGTATTCAGATTCAAAACCCATGGAAATCATGGCTGCCCAGAGATAGTGAAATACCACCACCATTTCCGAGGAATTGAAAGTGTTCTCCTGAACGTAGTTGTTTTGGCCAACAAAGGAGAGAGAGCAATTTACAAAAGAATCTAAAAACTTTGAATTAAAAAACATCAGCCAATGTCTCTTTGAGACTTGGATTTCTGAAGTGACAGATGATGAGTTTCTAAACTCTCCAGCAGAAGAGCGAAGGGATTTCAAACAATCAAAACTGCTGGCTGAGAATTCAGAGGGAGAATCTGACATGAGCACTCTGGAATTGTGGGCAAGCAAGTTATTTCCAAAACAGTCATTGCTTAATGGAATGGAATCAAATCAAAGTGAGGTAGGTCACAGTCACTTTAACTATAGTAAATGTAGGCCTCATAAGGTAATTAAAAGACTTGGCTAAATAGTTACAGGCACTTCATTGAATGAACTTGGAAGAAGGTTTAAGATGAGTGGTTTTGGAAGCACCGGTTTATGAAACAGAACCTGAATTCAAAAAACTGTTGATTTGGCTTCCTCTTAAGAAACAGATATATTGCCATGTTACTATACAGTATAGCATGGAAAACAAGCAAAGAAATTAACCACTGTGGTGTATTTTCAAAGTTCTTCAACTTGACTTAAAGATAAGTGAATTGTTAGCACTTCACTGTCAGAGTTGTTTAAGATTGTGAAGAGGTACGCGTTATCAGCAAGGCTGTGACCATGAGACTTCGGTATTATGTACAATCCTCACTTGGTGCAATACCTCATCTGAAGTATAAGAGGGTGCCATCAAATTTCAATGTATATAACCGATGGCATTGATAACTGGCCATTTTGAGTTTGAAGCTTGATATTAACAAACTAGTTGCATTCCCATTAGGAACACAGAATTTACAGCATCGCATTTTAGTGCTCCACCTGGAACTTCAGCTGCACAGACAGAAAATACCTCCTTTAGGAAGGGCACCTCTTTGTGGGTGCAACTTTTGAGAGAATACTCCTTACTCAAAGCTCATTATTTAACCAAATGGGTCCTAAAGTTCCTTGGTCTGGGTTTGCACAAGAAAAACCTGACATTTGTGACAAGGAGTGGACTTGTTTTGGGCACGCGGGGTTTTTAAGAAATATTCCCTTTGGTGGAGGGTAGAAAACAAATGATCCAAGTAATGGCCCCTTGCATTACCTTGTTCTGTTAGTATCTGCAGTCTTTGCAGAAGCCATGAGATGAGTTGCCTTTTATGATTGGAGACTGTTTCATTAAACTTAAAAAAACAAAACAAAAAAACTTTAAATCCCTTTTGTGACTTATTATCAAAAGATTATCAGAATAGGAAAAAGTCAGAAGGGTGGGTTCCCTTCCTCACTTCCTGTGCTTTTTTTCTTACCCATTTCCACCTTTAGTAATGTTATGATTGAAAAGCTTTCCTTTAGTAATTACTGTCATTGTTTAAAGTAACTTCAGTCATACTGTCCTAAAAAATCTTCCCTTCAGATACTATATACAATAGTGTAATTCCATTACTCTTTCTTTTATCCGGGCTCTTGGCTGTTTAATTGAGAGTTAAGCACGTGTTGTGCTGTACCTGTTGGAGCTGACCATTTCATTTATTATGGCTCAACTCTCCAGAGGTTCTGAAGCAACCAGTACAGCTGTCACCTTGAAATCCTGTCCCTTTGGACGATTGACCATGTTGTGTATCACTCCTCGATGTACGTCTAGCCTTTAGTTCAGGCAGCTGGCATTCTGAATCCACTCCTCCTGCCAGCTGATGAACAAACATATCTCACAGCAATACAAAACTCTGTCCTTTCAGATTAACTTCAGAATCGCTTAATGTTTCATATTTTGTAGGACTGTTTTGAAGCCACTGCTAGCAGAATCACACTTTCTTCTTGGTGCCTCTTCCCAGGTTCTCCAATACCACAGTCTCAGTCACCGCAGTCCCTCTTGATGGGAGCCAGGCTGCAGAGTACCCCAACTCTAACAGATATCTACCAGAACAAACAGAAGCTTCGAAAGCAACATTCAGACCCTGTATGCCCATCATATGCAGGGTATGGGTATAGCTACTCTCCACAGCCAAGTAGGCCAGTCAGCCTGGGAACATCACCTACAAAACATATGGGATCATCACCTAGGAGCTCAGACTGGCTGTTTAAAACTCCATTACCAACAATTATTGGCTCTCCCACTAAGGTTTGTTAAACTTAATTCTGTCTGAAAAAAACTGTTACAATATAGTACTTACCTACAGCTATCTCAGTATCTGAGAGTACTCACTTGTATGCTAACCAGATGCAATGCTTGTTTAGGCAACTGCTCCTTTCAAGATACCTAAGACTCAAGCATCCTCAAACTTGCTGGCCTTGGTTAGTCGTCAGGGTTCGGCGGATGTCCCATTGCAGTCTAAAGACATGACTGACCCAAGGGATTTCACGCACTTCCACTCGACACAAGGAAGTGAAAAACAGGCAGTAGAACAGCACAGCAAGGCTCCGTTTGGCAGGTAGAAATCATATCTGTTTACAAACTGCAGACATTGTGTAGGCATAACTTGTCTATAGAATTGCCATGCTGTTCTGAAACCAGAGTGCTGTTGCGTGCAATTTATAGCCTGTGGTTTGTTTTGAGATGTTTCTTGCTATGGAGACATTGGAGGTTAGTGTGTACCACAGAAACCTCACGTGCAGTGTAAAAAAAATAGTGTTGACATCCTGGACTGCTTCACCGTATTGCTGTTAAGTTCCCTTTTATTTGTTTTGATCATCTAAATTTGGAGTTCTAGTCCCCACCATTAGCCTCCTTCCAGTTTTTACTTCAGAATTCTGATAAACTTAATATGGCTAAACTTGAAATACTGTCTTAGCCTTTGGGGTCTTTGCACGATTGTAGTCAGTTTTATTTCAGTAAGTCCAGTGTTGATACTACAGAGAATTCTTGAAATCAGATGTGTAACATCTACCACAAAGCCACCCTCAGTTGTGAGGTGCAGAGGAGGCTACATTGAGAATTTTTTCCATTTTCATTTGCTTTTCTGTGTAGATCTGTCAGTACTGGGAAGTTGTCAGATCAGCAAGCGAAGACTATCCTTGGTGGCCAGTTATATCAGGGCAGCACAGACAGCCTCAATGCTGAGCGACCAATGGATACAGGTAAAGAACAGATTCATTCAGATATTATTGTAGTTTAAAGCATACAGCCAAATTATCATTCCATCAGTATTAGGAGTATTTATGGATATTCTCACTGGTTAAAGTGGTTGCTGTGTCACCAACACTCATGTTGCTTCTGATAATACTTTGACACAAACATAAACTGTTCAGAAGATTTCTGCATGTGTATGTTGACTATTTTTATAAAGCACCATATATAGTTGGGCACTGTCTGTAAATAGGAGCCTCCCAGAACTGCCCTAATGATAAAAATATCAGAACTGTGTATGCTTATTTGTTTTTTGTTTTTTTTTTCACTACCTCTGTTGCAACTCCATCTTCTTATTCCAGCTTGTTTTCTCATGGAGGTTAGCTTCCATCATGCTGGCTTGTCTTATCTTCTAAGGCTAGTGATTGTGCCTTCCATAAACTAGTCAACAGAGAATGCTGTACCAACCTTATGGCTAGAATTCCCAATGGTTTTTTGAAACCAGGGTGCTATCCATGGAGGCCTGATTTTTTTTTTTTTTCCAGCCTCCTTCCTGCCTATCTTATTTTCTATAGCATCTATTTCCATAGGGTCTAAGCACTGTCTCCAGGTTTTCAAAAGTCATCTCTAGTTCTCTTCCACGAGGAGAAGAGTTTAGAGCTAAGAGCAAATTTAGTTTCAAGTGGAACTTGGAAGGGGATGTGAAAGCTAAGGGTGCATCTTAGTTCTGTTTGTGTTCAGCCAAGTGGCCCAGCACTACTTGTGGTATATGGTATTATTTGCTGTCAGACTTCGAAGATGCCCTCATTTTTCCCCAGTCTAGTCCAAAGTCTGGCTCTGTTTCAGAGAGTGCTGTGTATTGTATCATCATACCATGTAAACCTTTTATTCCAGCTCCAGCAGGGGCCTGTGGAATTGCAATGGCACCTCCTTCCATGGGAACTGGAGCAAGTTCTAGGGCAGTAATGTTTACTGTGGGTTCCCCTCCAAACAGTGCTACCCCTCCTACTTGCACCCACATGGTCCTCAGAACTAGAACAACTTCAGGTAAGACACCCCCTTCAAACAATGTATCTTTGGCAAATGTAATGCCTAAATTTGTAAGCTCTTTGGAACTGGGATCTGATTCTTCGCCCGTGTTTGTAAGGTGTATGGCACAGTAGGGCCTCAGGACAATGCTGTAGCAGGTGTTAAACAATAATCAGGACTAGAGAGGAATGTCAGTCTAAGTCTTCTGACTTTTTCTCTCCTTAAGAGAGGGGTAGAGCTGCTAGTTGAACATTCTACAGTGTACATTTGTGACAGTCTACACCATGTATGTGATGGGATCTGGTTCAGATGGCATACACAGTTGTTTGTTCCAAGATATAAAAAAGTAGATTTTTAAACCTGTTTCTGCCCTTTGGTGTTACACAGTATGCAAGGAATAATGCACAAGGTTTGCAAGCATACTGGATTCTAGCACACCTTAGTATGTGCTTTGAAATATAGAAGCCAACAGGCTAAATGCCTTCTTCCATTTGAAGTGTGGATGTCCAGCATATCTACATAAGGGTGTTTTTGTGAACTTGATTCTGTCTGTCGAATTTGACCGGATACCTGCAGTCAGAATCCTGGTCAGCCAATCACTTTTTCTTCTCTCAATGCCCATTTTATAAATCTTCACTGTCCAATAAGGAATGCTGCTTAGGTGCTGGACCGACGATATAAAGCATAACGAGAAACTTGTGAATTTGTGGTGACTTCTGCTTTATATTAACTTTAGCCCAGAGCTGCCAGATGGACCAAGCTGTTGGACTGAACGTGTTTTATTTTTCCTATAGTTGGATCAAACAGTTCTGGAGGGTCTCTCTGCTCTACTAGTGGCCGTGTATATATGGGCTCCCCTCCCGGTATTTATATGGGTTCTTCTCCTCCTGGAGCAGAGGCAGCTCCAAGTCTGAAGTACATGTCTTATGGTACTTCACCTCCCAGCTTAGAGGGTTTTATCACTTTTGAAGCTCCTGAACTGCCCGAGGAAACATTAATGGAGGTACAGAAAAATTAATGTTTTGTCATGTTTAATGCCAATAAATGATTACTTAGAAATGATGGAAATATGGCTGAGGATCTGCCTGAATAGCGCTTTTAATAGTTTCCTTTTTACTGGACAATATCCCTTTGCAAAGCTTGAAAAAAGTTCCCTCTCTGTTTGTCCTTTTCTCGCTGACAGTTGTTCCTTGTATCTCCTGTCTTTTCTTAGGGGACAAAATGAGCCTGTCTGTAAGCAGACGTTAAATACTGAAGCTTTAGATCAACTCTGTTGTTAGATACCAAATATGTTATACAATAAAAGCTGAACACTTCTTTTGGTTTCTCCTATACAAGTGTCTAGCATCCTTGTGGTTGCTGATAAAATAATAAATAATACATGCCACTTGTGAGTTCTTTAGTCACTCTACAGATTGGTTTCAACAAACTTAGAGCTCAGTGTCCTACTCTTTGGGCGTTTGTTACAAGGTTTTAGCGTACATCTGCAATATGTTTAGATTTGTTTTAAAAGCAAGATAATTCATCTCGATTCCCTTTGACCTAGTGGTATTAATACTGTGTGTATTGCACAGTGATGCCGGGATGCTGACTATTCCCCAGATAGCTGCCATGTATTTGCCACATGGCCTATTGTGATTCAATTGTCTTCTCTTTTCCTTCTGACAGAGAGAACATACAGATACACTGCGTCATCTGAACATGATGCTGACATTTATAGAATGTGTACTGGACCTGACAGCAGTACGGGGAGGAAACCCAGAACTGTGCACCTCTGCAGTGTCATTGTATCAGATTCAGGAGAGTGTGGTTGTTGATCAGATAAGCCAGCTAAGCAAAGAATGGGGGTAGGTATTTGGCTAAGTAGTTGTTACAGAATTAGTGAATTTCAGATGAATTCATATGTCTGCGCATGACAGTCCTCGTTTTGACTTTGTCAGAAGTGACCTTTCTGCTGCTGCCTGGAGCAGTGTTACGCTTTGTCATGCCTGGGAATCTGAGCTCCAGTCTTCACACCCCCAGTTATGGGGAAAAGGGAGCTCTTTGCATGACTCCGTCAGTAACCATCTCTGGCTGACCAGGAGCAGCAATACTCAGTTCCAAAGGGAGTCACATCTAAGCCTCTGTCAGAGAAGCAGCTCAGTCCTGATGTGAAACCTTTAGAAGTGAGGAGAAATAAGGTGAACATGCTGGTGATGGGAGTGGAAATCTCAGTCATTTCTCCCTTCCTGCAAAAAAAAGAACTAATGTGTGTGATGGTCCCAAATGCTGGAATTCTGAAAGTAACCCCTAGGTGGGGGGTGGAGGGGTGGTTGTAAGGACACTCAAGAGAAAAGTGCAAGCAGGGGCTTTCTGGAAGGACATTGGCCTCATGTAATTAACCTACAAACAAGAAATTGGGTTTCTTCTATTTTGTACATGAAAGCAAAGGTTATATGTGCACTCTCTCCTGGCCAGAGAGATGGGTTCTCTCACAACCAGTGCTGCACAGAGGGCCAGGGGTGCTTTGTCATTTTTGTACACCTGTTTCCTCACTCCCCGACAGTTATTTCCTGCCAGCACATAGTGTGGGGAGCAGAGCCATTGGGAGGGTGTCTGGTTAATATCTGAGCGTCTGGCTGTGGGTTGAATATCTTTATTTGAAAAAGAAGAAAATCTTTAAAAATCAGAAATGATAAATTATTTTTTTCCAGACAAGTAGAGCAGCTGGTGTTGTATATGAAAGCAGCACAGCTACTAGCATCTTCTCTGCATCTGGCCAAAGCACAGATCAAATCGGGAAAACTGAACCCATCCACTGCTGTTAAACAAGGTATATGCAGCCATTGCTTTAGGACACTGATAGTTTCATTTCCTTTGCTTGTGAATTATTGACATTTATTTGGCCCATCACTGAAAAGAATTAAGTTGAAACATTCAGGATCTCACTGTGGCCAGACACCATACTCCTTTCCTGCCTGCAGCTGTGCTAGTCCCTAAGGAAACTTCGACTAAATCAGCTGGGCAAAGAGGTATCTTAGCGCTTTCCAGAACTGACCATGCTTACTTGTACTTCTGGAGAGAGAGAACTGCAGACACAGAATTGCTTAATTACTATGACAAAAAGATGTTGTTAGTGGTTAGGGAATGGGTAATTATTAATATGAAGTGAAAATTATTTGATATACTTTCCCGACAGCAAAAATGACACCGTAGATGGTAAAATAAAACTACAAAGATAAACAGACTCACTTGATTAGAAAGCTACCCTGTAAAGTTGAATTTAAATGTTTTAACCTCTTCTTAACGCTGACTTTCTCCAGTTGTCAAAACTCTGAATGAACGATATAAATTCTGCATCACCATGTGTAAGAAGCTGACAGAAAAGCTGAATCGTTTTTTCTCTGACAAGCAAAGATTCGTAGATGAAATCAACAGTGTAACCGCAGAGAAACTCATCTACAACTGTGCTGTGGAAATGGTAAATCATTTCTTTCACTTGCATTTAGGGTATTGAGATCAGTAAAAGTATTAACGCTTGTGATGGGCACGACCTCCTCTCACACATCTCTCTAATCTAACCAGATAGCACTGCATGTTTGGCCTTAATCCCGTTCATGCCAGGGCTGCTGTAATCTTCCCCCAGATCATTTCTGAAGTTCCTTGCTGATACAGTTGCTCTGAGGTTTTCCCACACATCAGCAGGTTTTGTATATAGACACTACAAAATGCACTGCTAAGCTATACAGTCCATGATGGGCTTCTGTGCGCTGGAGTATCACACAATAAAGCTTACTGAAGCATAGAAACAGAACACACACAGCTTCCCAATCAGCTGGTTTTAGTTTAGGGAGTTGTTTAGAGTTGGGGGACTCCTAGGTTGGAGAAGTGTGTCAGCAGGTCTATAGAAAATAAAAATGTTAATAAAGAAACATGGGGAAAAGGTATCTGTGTATCTGACAAGTTTTGAGTACACAGATATTTGGATAAACCCGGGAACAAGGTGCAGCAACTGTATCACATTAGGAGACTTACTTACCTTTCAGATAAGGGAAAGTTCTGGTGAAATGGAATTGGATAAATAGTGGTGTTAGACATAAGATCTTGGCAAGTATCCACTGTATTTAACCTCCATGACTCGATAGCCACATACAAATTAGTTTCTCTCTCTCACAAATAAAATTAGCTTGATAACAGGTGTGTATATGTGAGTAGTTACAATTTGAAATGTAGTATATACTGTACCATGCTTAATAGTAAAGGATCATAAAGCATTTCACAGTCTCTACATGCAGGACTCTTTTCTGTGTGCCATTAGGTGAACACTTACTTTCCTGTAACTTCTCCATAAGATTATATTAAAAATTATAAAACCAGACCAGCATATTTAAGGTACAGAAGCACTGTTAATTAGCATCCACAGAGTGATGCTCATTTATCAGTCAGTTCTCTGAGACAATTTTTTTTAATAGTATTTGCTTAGAACAATTCATATAGCTGATGCTAATGAATGCTTCCAGGTTCAGTCAGCAGCACTAGACGAGATGTTTCAGCAGACAGAAGATATTACATATCGATACCACAAAGCAGCCATGCTGCTGGAAGGACTGACTAAGATACTGCAGGACCCAGCAGATATAGAAAACGTTCACAAATGTAAGTTATTTTGGAGAGTGTATTTTGTGTACCTTGGTAGTAACTGAAAATTCCAGAGAGCGTAAAAAACTTGATCCTCTACTTCTCTTCAAAATGCATAAAGTGTTTCTTTATTATAAAAATAACGACATCTGGCTACGGAGAACAGAATAAATGGGTCTAATATTTTGGGTGAAATCCTGGCCCAGTTGAAGTCAATGGGAGTTTTGCCATTGACTTCAGGAGAGCCAGGATTTCACCTCTAGTATTGTTTGCCGATCCATGGCAGTCCACACAAAGCCTCTTCACAAGGCAAATGCTGCTACATCTCAAGGCACAAAGCCTTTCGCAGTATTGCACTTGAAGCGGAAGCTATTCCTGATGACTAAGACAAGAGTCTTTAAAATGTAAGAACTCAGAGGAACAAATCTATGTTCCAAAAGTGGAAAACTGGACAAATGAAGGGCAAAAGTAGATTTGTAATAAATTCAATTTAAAAAGCAAATCCAAAGGATAAATGCTGGACTTCTGAAACAAGACTAAACACAAACAGTGGGTAAAAATCACTGTGCTGAGCTTTGTGTTTAACTTTTTTAATAAAATCCTCTGAATGCAGATGAACTTCTTTTGGCTGATATTTATTACCTGCCTTGTATATTTAACTCATGGGGGAGGCACCTGGAGCGTAAGATGAGCACTTACATATTTTAAATATATGTAAATCTGTAATTTCATGATTAGGCATAGCCTATAAAAGCAGCAAGCACGAGAGGAGCAGCCAGTTTGGATGGTTTTCAAGTGCTCATCCTTAGCTGATGCTGCTATATAACCTGAAGAGCCATGTCCGTTTTGATGCAATGATTTTATTCTTTCTGCAATGAAATGAATTTGCACTTGATGTGTTCAGAACTTGACGGTACTTTAACATTTGTGGGTTTTTTTCAGATAAATCTAGTATTGAGCGACGGCTCTCTGCACTTTGCTATAGCACAGTGGCTGTATATGAACAGTAGCAGTACCCCAAGGACCAGGCGGTGTGAACAGAAGGGACCACTCAGTGACGTACTTTTTTTTGCTACAGCTTAATTGTTGTCATTGTCCCACTGCCCTGTGGAAGACAGTTTTTAAAGTTCTGTGGTGACTACCAAAGAAACAGCAGTAAATTCAAAGAGGAAAAAATCCAAAAGTACAACATTTATAGAAAATCTGCCTTACTGATACAGTCACTCGTCCCTTTTTCCTCCTAGCAGCAGAATTTAAAAGAAATAGGTCTTCACGTTTCTAACTGAACTTTGTACATGTACTTTTAACTACAACAATCAATTTTATTTTCCTTATTAAGAACTATTCAGAATGGATCCTTCTTCACAAAGTATACAAAGCTGTGTTTCCATAGGGAGATTCCACTCAAAGGTTTGTGGAAGACTGTTTTTTAATTGCCAGTATCAGACTGTTGAATGAAGGTATGAAATTCCAAATGTATAAACCTGCAGTTTGAAGGTTTTGTGGCTAAGCTTGTCTGGATCCGAGCTTACATCTTGTAAATACAGCTCATCAGTGAATAGAGGAAGGGTGGGAAGTAAGTACCTTTTAAAGAAGGGGAGGAAGAGGTCACTGGAAGAAATTTTGCTCCATCTCTTCAAAATACTCAAACAGTTTTATCAGCTGATATGGATACAACTAGATGCCCTTCTTCCAAAACAGTTTGTATTGCACTAATTTACTAAAGCAACTGTACATTCATTTTTGAAGAACTATTAATTTAAAAAAAACACAAGAGAAAAGGCACAATGGACTTAGCTGAAAAAGTTTTATTTCAGTGTATATAAAATCCTTTTCAGAATTTCAAATGTAGCTTCTAGAAGACTTTCAGACAAACTGTAAAAACTTGTATTCATGTGAACCTTTCCATTTTATACCTATTTATCTAATACTTGAGTAACTACTGCTACAGACTTTCTCAGTAATGGAAATGTTTTGAGTTGCTGGTTGTTTGCTTTCTATATAGGTTTGGTTGCATCTTTTGTTGTGCATGCAGTATGTGCATTATTGCCTGCAGTCTCTGTAAGTATAGTAACAGCTCTCTGTATCCTGTTTCTTGGACAGTATTAAAACAAATACTGTAAACTGAGAGGCTCTGTTAGGAGCCATGTGAGACTAGAAATAAGGTTTGGAATCGGGATGCTGATTTAGTGATGTGGGATTTCTACATACAGTGCGTGAAAAATCAGGGTATTTGTGTATGCATTTTTAGGGAGAGGTGGGAAACTTCCCATAGCCTCATAGGCACTTATCATTTCAAGCATCCCTTCAGATCATCCGAACAGCAATTCACAAAATATTTAGGCAGATCATCTTCTCTGGAAATGGTTCTTATATTTTACTTTTGGAAGGGTTTTTTTTGGGTGTGGGGGGGTTACTCAACTGCTTGAATACTTGAATAAACCATTCTCCAGGACAAAATCATTTTAATCCTCTTTTAGATACCGTGGTCTGAACTATTTTACAAAGTTGTACAGTTCTCATACATCAATATTGTTTTAGTGTACTGATAACCATGTGTTTCCTTTACTTTGACAAAGTAATGTACTTTTACCCTTATTTATCTGTATGAAATTCCAACAGTTAATTTGAAAGTGTTTATTTATATAATGTTTGTATTTTTAGGTCTTTAATACAGTGTTTCTACCTCTCCTTTGTAACTGCATGCATTATTCTTGAAACTAGGTAATAACTCACTGAACTGTTGCATAATAGCCTTTTTATTATGGCCTGTATAAATGTATATTCAGGTAAAATAAAGACTGACACCAGACGTGTTTCTATGGTACAACCTTAGTTTGTATCTTGCACTATAATTGGGGACCCTTATATTCAAAAAACACTGCAGCATTGGCTAGTGTTTAAATCAAGGACTGAACAGGCCCTGGAGATTAAACTTGCTTCACAGGCCAAGAGGTGTGTCTGGCAGCAATCAGCTGAGGCATGTTGGCAGAGCAGCGTGATGGAGCTTGCATTGCTGCTTGTGCTCAACCTCTTTGGTGACAGAATGGTCGCCAGCACGACAGGTACTGAAGTTACCTTTCCTTAAAGCAAAACCTGTTAACCCTGATTTTTTTAAAAATGTCATGGATTTGAAAACCAAGATGCTAAACAGATTTTTTGGATAAGAGCTGGAAATCTTTCAGTGAAATGCCTGTTAATTGCCTTGAGCAAAGAGGCTCAGTGTTCGAGTTGCTAGAAACACATGTAATTACATACACCTGATAGACGGGCTGGTTCTAAATGACATTTCTGCCTGCTAAAAGTTGCAAAATTTAGTCCTTTCCATTGTGCTGCTGAAGCTGCTTCCCCAGTGGAGTGTGGTAGAGTAAATTAATGGAGATACCCTATCTCCTAGAACTGGAAGGGACCTTGAAAGGTCATCAAGTCCAGCCCCCTGCCTTCACTAGCAGGACCAAGTACTGATTTTGCCCCCATCCCTAAGTGGCCTCCTCAAGGATTGAACTCACAACTCTGGGTTTAGCAGGCCACTGCTCAAACCACTGAGCTATCCCTCCCCCCCGGGAAAGGGCTGTTTTTTCTTTCCTATACTATCAAGATTTTCCAACATTTGCCAGAAAAAGAAAAAAGCTGCTCAGAACTGGACCCTAATTATAAAAGAAAATGGAAAGGGAGGAGCACGGTGTGCTGCTGGAATAGCTGAACATGCATCTGGCCCTAATACAAAGGTCTGGGAAACAGGGGGCTTTTCCCAAGAACTCATTGTTGTCTTTCACAGAATTCAGGCTCTCTCTCTCTCCCCCTCTGCTCCTGCCAACAGTCTACAGCTGCACAAACAGGAGGGAGAAGAAAAGGCCATTCTTGTTCGCTGGTTTTCAGGAGGAGGAGACTACCAATGTTGAACATGGCCTGTCTTTCTGTGTAAACTTTCGACACAGATTCTGAAGTTGTCTCCTAGCTCCAGCTCTCTCCTTTGAACAGCAAGTGTCTGATTCTACCAGAAGTTTTCTTACCCTTTTAAAAAAACAGAAATCAAGGGGAAACATTTCACCCCTTCAGTACTGTATTTCTAATTCAGATGCAGTGGATTTTATCTTACCTTAAGAGGATCATGTTTAGTACTACCTACATTTTTTTCTCCTCTCTATAGTGCATAATGTCCACTGAGCATCTTGAAACCCCATTTACATTCTGACTTTGCTATTTTTTTACAGTGGGAAAGCTGAATTCCCTTCTTTTCCTCTGGTGCAGACAATGAATTCTGGTTAAATTCGTTGCGTAGATCACATCAAAACAGATTATTTTAACCCACCAGTGAGATTTCAAAATATTCTCTTTTCTATGAATATTTCCCCTCCTGTACTCCATTTTAAGTTAGGTCAAATCTGAGGCACTAATTATTGAGTCAATTGATATTTTGAAAAGTATCTTCCAGTTCTTTGACTTGCATTTCAGAGAGGAGGGGAGATTGAGGAAGAGTAAAGACAAGACTCCATTTGCCCAGCAGGACAGAAAATGGGGGACAACTTTTCTCCTCCCCTAGTACAAGGAAAGTTGGATGCTGCTGTTTTCATAGCCTGTTGATGCTTTGAGCATCGGACAGCCAAGCTGCCATGAGACCTCATTCCTTTGTAGCCTGATCTCCACTTTTCCCTCCTTCACTCTTAATTTCCTCTCCTTTGAAATCTGCTTGACGCTATCTTCTCAAATGGCCAAAATTTCCTTGGCTGTTTTTAAAGTCTCCTTTTATCCTAAACAACATCCTCTTTAATGCCTCAGCCTTTACTTGACCTAATAAATGCAGAGGGCATATGCTTAGTGACTCCGCACCCTAGAGCAGCGAGGCATATCTGAGTATCCCCTTTACGAACATCTCTTATTCAGTAGGAGCCCAGTCTAGCTAAACGTTGGCACTGCCTTTTGTAGGCAGCAGACTCTCCCCGTCTTCAGCTGAAAGCTAATTGAATGCAAACGTCGCTGCTGAGTCTTGTTCAAGTCTTTGCGCCAATTGCTTTTCTCTTGTTTGCTTGCTTTCACATTTTCCATCGCTCCAGCTATGTCTACAATGCAGCCTACAGATCGTTGCTTTGTACGACTGTATGTTGCTCGCACAAACATGAGGTCAGCCACTGCCCTCAAAACAAGTGACACCATAAAATGAACTGAGCTGCTTTTATTCATTTAGGCTCTTTAAAGTCTTTTTCTTTTTAACAGCAATTTCAGAAGCTATTTCTGACTCTCCTTTATCTCCATGTGTATGCTGGCCAGCTTCCTGGATTTGTACCTTCTGTATCTACATCTCTTCCATCTTGTGCCTCTCTGGCCTGGTTTTGTGACTCTTTTAATGCACCCAGACAAGTCTGTAGATACAATAGATGCCAAGGGTAGGTCTGTGCAGCAAAAGCTAGGCACAGGCTAGTCAACCCAAGCTAGCTTGAATCCAGCTGCATGGGTAACAAGGATAGTGAAGACAGCACGGGCTTCCACACTAGCCCAGCACAGACCTGGGTACATACTTGGCTCCCCAGTCTTCACTCCTATTCTTGCCCACGCTAGCTAGATACAAGTTAGCTTGGGCAGGCAGCCAACGTGTAGTTCTTGCACTGTGGATGCACCCTTATAAATAGGGCCCTACCAAATTCATGGTCCATTTTGGTCAATTTCACGATCATGGGATTTTAAAAATCATAAATTTCCATGATTTCAGCTATTTAAATCTGAAATTTCATGGTATTGTAATTGTAGGGATCCTGACCCAAAAAGGAGTTGTTGGGTGGGGGGTCGCAAGGTTATTGTCGGGGGGGGTTGCAGTACTGCTACCCTTACTGCTGGTGGTGATGCCTTCAGAGCTGGGTGGCTGGAGAGCAGCGGCTGCTCGTCGGGAGCCCAGCTCTGAAGGCAGAGGCGCTGCCAGCTGCAGCGCAGAAGTAAGGATGGCCTGGTATGGTATTGCCACCTTTACTTCTGTGCTGCTGCCTGCAGAGCATGGCCCTTGGTCAGCAGCCACCACTCTCCGGCCACCCAACTCTGAAGGCAGCAGTGCAGAAGTAAGGGTGGCATGGTGTAGTATTGCCACCCTTTTGCACTGCTGCTGGTGGGGCTCTGCCTTCAGAGTGGGGCGCCTGGCGAACAGTCAGTGTTCTCCAGCCACCCAGCTCTGAAAACAGCACAGTGGTAAGGGTGGCGATACTGTGACCCCCCCCTAAAATAACGTTGTCCAATCCCCTTTTGGCTCAGGACCCCCAGTTTGAGAAACACTGGTCTCCCTCATTAAATCTATGCAGTATGGGGTAAAAGCACACAAAAGACCAGATTTCATGGGGGGAGACCAGGTTTCACGGTTCGTGATGCGTTTTTCATGGCCGTTAATTTGGCAGGGTCCTACTTATAAAAGACACAAATTGAGGATCACTGTCTAGGGTCCTGCCAAACCCCTCCAAAACCAAAACATGTTCTCTCCCCCACTCTCCCCAACCCAAGGAAAAGGCTGTGAACGCAGATTGATTTGCCCCGTGATCTCAAGTTGAACACATTTGGTGAACCAAAATTGGACGTATTCTATAGCTGATGCAATTGAGGTCATCCAGGAAAAGAGGCTCACTAGGGTAACTGGGACCCAATCCCTGTAAGGTTTTGTAGGTTGAAATCAACATCTTGGATTGCATCCAGAAATATGTAGGAAGCCAGTGCAGATAATGGTGCATAAGTATAACAAGATCCATATGTAGCCAAATTTTTTCACTTAATAGAGGACTTATTGTTGTAGCTAAGTATAATAAAGTAATATGTGATGGATAGGTTTAAGTAGGATAGGAGTGTAAGATTGACGAGCCTTTGAGTAATGAATGTATATTGGCAAAGTAAGGCTGTAATGCAAGGCTGAGGCCTGTAAGCTTTCAGCTTCGCCCTACCAGGCCCCAGGCCTAAGGAGGGCTGACGTAAGTAGAAGACCCAGAACTAACCCTGTACCAGGATAAGAACTTTCTTATACTATTTATTTACTAAGTATTGACAGCTTTACAAATCCTTGCCATATAAATATCAGAAACAAAACAATCATTTACAACTCTGAGCTTTTATTTAAAGAGACAGTGTAGACAATCATCAGACCTCTGTTTAACAGGGTGTGACTATATTCTGGGGTGAGTGTCATTCCAGCATCTGCGCCGTGTCGTTTCTAGTGAGTTTTGTTAATATATGAGAAATCTTGAAGTTGGGTGATCTTCGGCTCTAGCCCCAATGACGAGTGAATCCTGTCTGCTGCTGACAAAGGCAGCGTGGAACTCCAGGGTGAGGGCCTGCTTCTGAAAGGAAATATTGGCCCCTTCTGGATAAGTTTTGGCACCACAGGTATCTGGAAGAACATGCTTGATGGATCCAAGGAATTATCACTTCGCATCATGTGATACCAGGGAGGCAGTAGTTGGCAGTCGAGTGACTCCAGCTTAGCCTTGGGGGTTGCTGGACACAAGTCAAGTGTAGTTTTTAAGCCATCCCAGCAGAGTTCATTGTATCCTTCCAGTACCAGCTATCAACAATATTCTCTGACGGATCATGTCAAACCTCGGTTTTTAAACACCATAAGAAGAAAGCTATAGACAGAAGCTAGCGCATATAGTAGCGTGGAACTACAATGAAATGCATCTCGTATGAGCATGATAAACTATGGGAATGGGGAGGTGGTTATAGAATGTGGCTGGGCCCAAAAAGTTTATCCACAGAAATAACCAGTGAAAGTCTGTGGCAAAACTGAACCTGCTGGTAGCGAATTCACCAGCCAAACACAAACCCAAGCCCCAGTTAGGAGGCTTCCTTT